TCTTTCTCGCATTGGCTTTGCCGCCGACAGACCGTGCCTGTCTGCTTTCGCGCCTACTCATCCGCCTCATGACCACGCAGCATGTTGGCTGACTGAGCCTCCACTCAGCAGTTCTGCAAACATTGTTTCATCATTAGATACATACGTATAACTGTATAATTTTATCTGCTCGTGTATAATAACAATTTTATGCTCGGTGCTTCGCATTCCGTCAACACATCGCCGCCTGCTACGGTTCAGGCAAGCGCGCAATCAGTCTAAAGCGTCGTTCTTGTCTGCTGAAATTCGCTCCTTCTTTTTTTCTTGCCACGTGACTGTGCAAATGTTAAGTTTTATTCAAACATAACTGTAATATTTGTGACTGCTCGCTCGCTCATCTCATAGCGCAGTCATTTTGCATAGCTCAACTTTGTTTTTGTTTCTCATCGTTGTGTTTGTTGCAATTCATACTGTTTATCTAAGCTCATGTTTTTTACTAGTATCTTCGCAGTTTGAACGTGATTTAGAATTTTCATTTGCTGAAACGCGCTAGCTTTGCTCACGGTTTCCCCGCTGCTTGTGCGGGTAAATTATGTTTTGTCACCCCTTTTGCCTCAGCTACCAATTTTCATATTTTCCAGTTCAGTGATTTGCTTTTGTTCCTTTTTTGTTTGTGTTTTTTGTTTGGTTTTATAGTTTTATGTTTTTACACATATTATGGAGCCTTGCCCCTTTCTACAACTCAATACATTTATATTCAAGCGAACAATATGGCGCAGAGTTGCTTTCAGTATGGCTTGTGATAATATTTGTTTTAAATTTTCAAAACGTTTCCTACTATTTGTCATAAATATCAGCAGCGCATAAATTGTGTAGATTTTTTAAGTTGTAGACAGCTAGGCACTATGAATTTTGTAGAGGACCCTTATTCATAGTATATTCAATTCTATACATTATTTCATTGATCTAATACCAAACTACATGGAACGTATTTGTTACTTTCAAAAACTGCTTTTGTCAGACCCAGAATATCAAATAAATGTACAAACTGCTCTTAAATATTCTCGCTAGCCGATTTAGAGTGGTATATACAAAATAAATTTTTATGGACACAATTCTTCTCTGTTTTCTGCCGAGTCAATTAAAAAAAATTATATTGTTCTCCTTTATAAAAAAATTTACAACAAAATTCAATCATTAAATGGTATGTTTTTTTTAGATCAGAGGCACTGTAATAGGGTGGAGAAATGAACATTATATTGTATATGGGTCACAAAAAAATATCCGGAAATTGTAAATATTATTTTCCCACTTCAAAATAATCCACACCAGATGTGGTAGACTTTACAACGATTTCTCCAGTCGTCGAAACACTTTTCATTTCCACTTTTTGTGTCTTCTGCTCCTTCAGCTTATTTCGTTTTACCTCTTCGATCGAATGGAAAATGGTTGCACGGAGCGGCAGATTCAAAAAAAAAAAATCACTAGGAGCCATATCCGGTGAATATGATAGTTGATCAATGATACTTATTGCGTTGTCGGCTTTCACTTCAGTCACAATCGTGGCTCGTTGCGTTGGTGTATTACATCGTATAAAATCTATGAGTTGTTCTTCCGTTCCGTTCTCCATGAACACGGCGTTTCATTCCCAAAATATCGACCAGCAGCATTCGAACGGAATCGCGGAGAGATGTCCAGCTCTCTTACCACCTCCCTTACACTTTCCTGACGATTTTCAAGCATGATTGTCCAAAACTCTAGTTTATGTCAGTCTAAATTTGGATACATGTGCCAAACGGCGTTGGATTTGGTTCCTTAAATATTTCAGTACTTAAAAATTTAGTAACTTGATTTCAAAGTAGTTGAAGTTCTCTTTCTATGATCTGGAGCCTTAAAATTGTTACTTTTTAATTGTCTTTATTCAATGAATTATTGTATTCTGAATTTTTTTAAGCATTAAAGAATATTCATTTAATATTTTTGTCAGCGTAAAAGCTTGTAGCTTTATGAGAATATGTTCTTTAATAAATTCTGGTAACTTCTGAAAGGCATTTGAATATAGTTTAAAATATTTATTAAGAATGTAGTAAATGAATTCTAAGACGTTTGGGTTAATTCAGCAGTTTCCAAGCTTGATACCAAAGCGAAAAGATATAATGTATAAAGCGTATAAACCAACGAAAAATCATGAACCAATCACAGTAAAAAAGTACACAGCGAATTTCATATAAAGGTAAACTATTTTTGGTTGAATATGCCTGAAGCTTAGACTTTGTAAAGATAAGATCTTTCTTATATTCAGTGTACAAAGAATAGGTCTGTAGTTCAGAGTTTGTATACTTAATCTAAGAAAAGTTCTTAGCAGAATATTAAAAGTCCCACAAAGATAAGTAAGCACCATACATACTCGTATATTCTAACCCAAAGGTGAAGATGGATGTTTAAATCGAGCTTGTTGAAGTAAATACATCACATTAACCAAAGATGCGTCCCGAAAATTTCATGGTAAGAGAAAGTGTATAATGCAAAAATGAAAAGACCTTGATTAACAGTTTATTTCTGGCGTGTTTTCGCAATTACAACAAAATTACAAAACTAAATTTCAAATTGCAAAATATCAAGGGTACTCTCTAAAATGCACAAAGAGCAGCAGAATATTTGCTGACCATCAAATATTATATTTATATGCGACCAAAATGAAGAAAAATGAAGAAAAACTAACAAACCCAACAGGCAACATTGAAAAAAAGAAGTAAACCCGGAGAACAAAAGCGGGAAATTAAATAGCAAATTACGCGCCAAAACAAACCCAACAAATTAAAAGCGCACAAAACATAGAAAACGAGACAAACACAAAAAAGACGCAAACGCACTGCACGAATTCTAGGAATGAAGGCAAAGACCACGTCAACAAATCGTAGCCTTGGCTTACACAATGAAGAAAACAAAATAAAATCTCAAGATAATCAGTCGCCTATGGCAATAAGCGCGAACAAGAAACGAAGTCGAAAGCCACTTGAAAATAAAAGTAAATGAATTTCAACCACAAGCAACAGTATGTACTAAGAAAACAACCGACGAATACGAAAAAATGAAATAATGAGAAAAACATAAGTAATCGGAGAGATGCAGATTTCGATACGAGCATGCAGACAATAGTAAAGGAAATTTATATTTACAAACACATTTTCATACCGACATTTTGTTAAAGATCTTCAAAGCGCAATATTGTACATCGCGCAGAAAGCTCTGTAGTATAGTCTGCTGAGGACAACAGCTTCCCGCACAAACCTACAATAACTGCGGCTAGACGCAAAACCTATTCACTTCATTAAACAATTTATTTTCAGACCGTATACAAAATTTAGGCATTAAGGAAAAACTGATAAGGCGCTGGGTGCATGAGTGCGTCTTCCTTTTGTTCTTATTCTTTCTTTTTCCCACAAATTAGCCGCTGGTTTATGTAACTACAGATGGGTAAATGTTAAAGGTAAGGACTAGAGGCTTTTTCTTTTTTTCGTTGGTAGTATTTTACGTGGCGGGTCCAAACACAACCTGGTAAAGGATGTTTCGCCTTCTCACTATAGCTCGCCTTCAAACGGATATTTTTTGGCTACTCAGAGGATACTTGGTCTAAGACCGGAAGTTGGGAGCTGCTTGAACCATATGCAAAATAATCATTTCTGGCAAGAAAAAAATTATATAAAATGTAGCGTCCTTATCTTTCCTATCTTGCCTAGTACTTCTTGCTTCACACATTCGTCATTTCCTTCTTTCATATCTGCCATTTCCCTCTTTTATTAGATCCACAAATCAAGCACTCTCTCCTCTTCTACATTCTTCTCTCTTCATAGACTATCTACTCAATTGCTTAAGAATGTAGCTTTTTGTAATGAACAGTTGTTTAAATGTACAATATTTGCTTTTGATAAGCAAATTACTGTGAATTTCCTGCTCCACACTTTCGTCTTTTCAAACGCCACTTTCTGCACTACAGTCACTGCTTTTCCATTTCGTATATGTATCCTTACTTACAAATTTGCTTCTGCACATTTCCTCTGATTTTTATCTCTAATCGCTTTTCTCATTCATTCTTTTCAAAAATGAATGGCCGATTGACTCAATTGATATCGATGACTGTACGCTTTGGATCCATTCGTTCTTTGCTATTATATTTCTTTTATGTTTTTCTTTTGGTTTCTTCTAGTTGGCTATAATGACTCCTTCCATCGTTGCTATAAAGTCCAATTAGTTGCTTTCTTACATACCTATTTACTACCTACAATACCTAGCCTTCGAGATTTGTTTCATTTTTCAAGGTGGCAACAATGTTTTATTCGTTTTACCTTCCTTCTATCGCCTAATTTCGTATTTTATAGTGTCTTACATTTTGTTCTATTCGTTCATTTGTTGGTTTTGTTGCTTAGAAATCAGTTTTGTCATTTTACTTGAATAAGAATAATACCTGTCGTCGCTGTCTTGTTCGCTGTCGGCTTGTTGTCCGCGTGCTGCCGTGGCCATAGCAAGACTCTCAGCTACGTACCTGCACTTTCTTTTTTACAAAGGCGTATGTGCGGCCATGTGCCATCTCCTCTTCCTTTAGGTATGTTGACCGCAACCTTGTACACCAATTTCGCCTTCAACCCTGCCTTGCTTTCCATTTACGGAATTCTTAATGCCATATTATTAGAACCCTCGCTTATCTGCTTAGGAGGGTGAAGTTATTATCAATCTTATTTGCTAATACTCCTGAAGTAATTTGGAGGAATAGTTCCGAAATGATAGTTCTTGGCTATGCAAAATCCGGGTACGTTACGGTTGATTAGACCCGATAGTCGTGGGAGTGGAGTAGCAGTTCATCTCTTACTAAATAGCAGAAAAAATTAATTTTGAATTAGACACGTTTTATGCAGCTCGTGTTATGCTTAGAAAAATGCATTATTGTAACTTCACCTTATATTTAATACACAATTATTTTTATAAAGAAATCAATTAAGAGCACTCTTTTCCTCTTTTTTCAGCACAGCACCATTAGACAATAATAAAAATCATGGCAATACTACAACTTCAGCGACAACAACGACCACAGCAGCGACTGATAACAAATGTTGAGATAAAACTCAATTTTTGTAGATAAAAATTCGTCTAACAAATTTTCATGCTAAGTGGCTATAATCGAAACTACCAAAGAAAAAATATTTAAACTCAAACAGAGCACATCCAAACCTCGACAAGTTGATTTCCTCGCTATAGTTGGAGAGCACGTGAGCCAAAATGTGCTCGACAACACAATTCTGTTTGCTCAACCTGCGCACATATTTAATTTATTTATGCTGCTATCTGCTTATAATGGTGGCTGCAGGTAGCCGTGTAGTTGACGGTTTAAAGTGTTATTGTAATCCGAAAGAATGTGATGTTATACGTTCGCTGGATTGTCCAGGCAAGGGTATGATGCTGTGGGACCCATGCAAGTGAGTAACAAACTACCTTATAAAATTCATAATTATTTAAAAGAAAATAAATATTTTTTCTCTTTTCTCAATCATCTCAAAACATATGTCATCTATGTTTACTAAAGTCAGTTTATCCTTATTTAATTTCACATAATAGTAATTGCTAAACACATTTTTACAATAAATTTTACAGGAATTTTCGACAGCACTTATAAAAATTCAAATTTCAAACATTGGACTTATTTTTGATTTGTGAGTAAAAAGTAACTTGAAGAGGAAAATTGGCCACATAGCGCAATATATAACAATAAAGAATAGCATTCGAGGAAAATTGTCAACATAGTAAAAATTGAAACGGTATAATTTTTCTAAGCAAGGTTATCAGAATTAAAGCTGATATTTTAAAAATGTTTCTCAATGTAGTGAAAGCACGTCAGGTTATGTTAACTTATAATTTATATATCTATAATCTATTGCAATTCAGACTTTATTTATAATGTATTTAAAATAAAATTGTAAAAATCTTCACAAAATCTTCTATTTTTTCAGATGTTGTCGCATTTGCGCCAAAACACTTGGCGAAACTTGTGGTGGTCCGGGTGGATTCTCCGGTCAGTGTGAACCACCACTACAGTGTGTCACAAGATTGCCCATTTCCAGCGGTCTAGGCGTTTGCATGGGTGAGTCATCTAATTAGAAATTAATTTATTATTTTAGAGGAATGCAACAAAATTGAGGCAAACTGAAAGCTGTTCGATAATATCAGAGCTATATTTAATTTATAAAAACTTTATATGTATGTATTTATGTATGCATATACTAGTATATACATACCTATGTGAAATATATATATTTAGTTTATAAAAGTTATCGTCTTGAAATCTAAGTATATGCAAGCACTTAGCTTTCGCTTACTTATCTTCCGAACCTATATTTCTTCTTGTACTCGCTTTACGTTTGTTATACGTTTGATATATATTCAGTGCCATCATTACTTTTTTCTTTTAGTCCATGAACGCAAATCGAAGCATGCAAGGTGACAAGAAATTAATTAGTTCTCTACTTTCATAGCTAAAGTTAACCATGAGTATTTCTATGAAGTGCAATAAAACGCCGACGTGATTAGTAATTTCTATGAAATGGTAAATCACTAACTACATATGATCTGAGCACAAATTGAATATATGTATGTGGGAGTAGCTAGAAATGTGACACGTGTTATTATTTAATCAGCAGTTAATTAAAGCTAGAAATAAATCATATTGCTGGATGAGCGTGGGGAAATGGAGCATAAATTGAAAGAAGCTTTAGAATATTCTTGGAATTTGGTTGAAATTAAGTTTTCCAGTTATTTCATTAAATCGAATATTATTTATGTATACTAGTGCAATGGAAATTTAATATGCCAAGGAATTTATTTTCGTTTCATCTTCAAATCTGATTCACTCACAGATCACTCGAAAGCTCTTGCCACTTTTTTCGATCACACGACTTGTAAGCGCGTTTTTGGCCACTTCTTTCGATTCTTCGACAGACAAGTCTAAATAACCAGAACAGAGCGGCGTTTTTAACTGGCCGAGGACTGTCAACTGAATCAAATTGTTTCGAGGTGTTTTCACTGCCACACAATGACAAGCAGACCACGAAATAATATCTAATTAGCCTAACTTAAACAGAAGAAGTCTTTACAAGGCAAAATGTTGCTACAATTGTACATTGTACTTCTTATAGCCCCTTTTTGAGAGACAGTACAATTCCCAGGGAGTAGAAAAGCAAATAAAATTTCGTGCGTTGCTCACATCAAAGAGATAAGAAAAACAACGCACTGTATACATATATAGTATATACTTATAGTATATTCATAATTAATTATATAGTATATATCCCTTATGTTGACTTTATGCCTGCATATAACTAACCAAAACCATCAAAGACAAAGCAAGTAAGAAAAAATATCATTTATTGGATGGATTTGGCGTAACTTTAACACCTCTCGTAGTCAGATATGCGGGTAATTTGACATTTTTGCGGTTTGCTTATCAGTTTACAATATTGCTGAGCTGATGAAGGATAGCTTTGACATTTGGCCGTAGTGCTGCAAAACTTTGAAATGTAGAATTCCACAGTATTGTTTTTATTCTAAAGTAAATACATACTTATATATAAACATATACATATATCAAACACGACAAAAAAAAAAAAAAATAAATAATTTCCTTCTGGCATACAAGCTTAATTTCAATGCGAAGTAAAGTGCTAAAGTTAACATTACTGCCACCACATGCAACAGCCAAGCAGCGAAAAGTCGTTTTTTGTTGTTTTTGTAAAGTGAGTCTTCGCATCAAGCATTTCAAGTCAGCTTTTGTTCCGGCCTTTACTTCAATATGCTGGTATAACTTTGTGTTTCCAGAGCATTTACATATATACATACATAAAGACTCACAAATATAGCATACACACAGGCGCATTCACTCATTCAAGCAAAAAGTGAATACACAGTTATTACAAGTACACACTTTTCAACTGAGCGTCTTTTTGAAAAGTATTTAAGGCAGTTTTTACCTTAGTTAGTCGCTGCTGTCTGGCAGTGAGTTTCTTTTCTTCGCTCTTGCCCGCTGTTTGGGTGGCGCTCGCGTTCTGTTTTCAGCACTGACTGCTTCTTGTTATCTGCTACTCATGTATATAAATAAATAGCTTTACGTGTGCCTTTTTCTGTACCAAGTTTGCCTGTGAGTATTCCCCATACAGTCATTTGCGGCAATTTCGGCAGCAAATCAGTAAGACATTAGTGCTAATGTGTTCATATTTTAAGCGCGATAGGCAGTAAATTGGTTTACTTTTCTTGTGTGGCAACACACATTTTTTGGCATGGCTATAGAGATCAGATCTGAATAATATATTCGCAGATTACAACGTTGCTGGAAACAATAATTTGTTCGTGACGGTATCTTGTCAAATGGAAAAGTTTTTTTGAACAAGAAACACAGAAACCTCAAATTTAACGAGGAATCTTTATCATCATTCGAAAGAACTTTATTTGGCATATATTTTCTTAAAGGTAATCTCTTTCAAATGCTAGCCTCGGCTACGTGTCAGATGGTCCATCCGTTAAATCAAATTGGCTCGTTCGAACATTTCGACCGGTAATTGAAGTATGAAACGCGTGATATTTTTCTCCCAAGCCTGAATCGAAGCGGGATTGTTCTCCTAGACTGTAGGCTTTACATATGCCCAGAAGAAAAATTCTAAACCACGGCTGCTATATTTTCTTCACTGCATGAGTCTCAAGATGGGCAATGGGCGAAAATTATACACTTAGTGGGCCAACTATGTTAACTATGAGTTGATCGAAGCACGTGTAAGTCTTTCCATGATGAAATGCGAAACAATACTAATAAAAGACAACATGACAGCAAGACACGACTTACGTTTGATCTGTCAAAAAAGGGCCATTGAAAAAAGTACCTCTAGATAACCCGCTACATATTTAATAGGGTCACCGATATTGTCTTCTGGATGTTAGAAACTTCGTGGCATACTTAGTACACCCTATTCAGGGCATAACAAATAAAAGTAGTAAGAATTTTTTTAAAGCCAGTTCTCCGGTCCTAAAAATCTATGAAATGTTTACCAAATGCTACATAACGAAGAGGATTACCAGCCCGTAAAATTTTTGTATGTAACATTTTCGAAAAAAATCAATCACTGCATTGTTTTGATGCTCTGTTGAAGACATAATGAGTTCGCTCAAACAAAAAAGAGATATGAAGCACGAGGATGATGATGATGCTCAGATGAATAACTGTGTGATGAGAAGAGTTAACTTGAAACTTTGTGGATGCCAAAGCAACCACAGAGACACTAACGCCCTTACGTATGTATGAAATGCAAATATCTTGAAAATATAATACTGAGTTCAGTAAGATTTTCACTAAAAAAATACCATAATAGATACCTATGATGTGCAATAATATATATTACACATATCGTCACCTAAAATTCAAAATAACGTAACATGATGTTTCATAAGTTTGCAGGCGAAGGAAAAACGATATAATAGAAACAACCAATACTGAAAATAAATTTGAGTTTTGGTTATAATTAGTAATATATATTGGTTATTATATCTGACAATTATTTATCATGCTTTACAATTTTTTTTTTAATATTATTGAAAATAAGTTTGAGTTTTGGTTATAAAATGGTTATATATTGGTTGTCATACCAGTTACCATACTGGTTATCATGCTGGTTATATATTGGTTATTATATCTGGCAACGATTTTTCATGCTATAATTTTTTTTAAATATTATTGAAAATACATTTAAGTTTTGGTTATAAAATGGTCATATATTGGTTATAATACTAGTTACCATACTGGTTATCATGCTGATTATATATTGGTTATTCTATCTGACAACGGTTTATCATGCTGTAAATTTTTTTTAACAGTAATAAAAATAAATTTGTGTTTTGGTTATGAAATGGTTATATATGGGTTATCATACCAGTTACCATACTGGTTACCATGCTGGTTGTGTATTGGTTATTATATTTGACAACGGTTTTTGATGCTTAAATTTTTAATTTTTTTATGATACGTTGTTTTGCACTTTAGGTGATAATGTAGTACTTCCTTTAACTGCGGTTAGAATGTAGCGCTAATACATTGTCTATAAATGCGATGTTTATATTAAAAATCTATGCAAAGCCCACACATACCTTCATTTATATCTGCCTCGGTTATTTTGCTCTTATTAGTCTTAGCCATGCCCTTTACCCCATATTCATGTACTAACTAACTAACTAGTAAAGGCAGCGCGACCAAACTGCACACATGCACATATGCTACTATATATTAATGCTGTCTGTAAGAGTATACGTGTATAGAGAGCTAGCTTAGTTCGCCGTCTGACATTTGCTAAGTGGTTTTCTACTCTACAAAACCTTCACACATTAGCAAGCAGCAACTCGCCACTTAAGTGTGGCTTACACTAGACGCAGGCACACATACATATACTATACATACTTGTACAAAAGTATAAAGTTTCATTAGTGTGCTTATGTGGATGTGTGTTTGAACTAAGAGTAGCGCTAAGTAACAGCACATGCATGTAAGTCTATAAGCGTTTGTGCTTGCTCATCTATAAGCAAGTGTGTGTGTATGCATTTACTTTGTTTACCTTTTTAGGTTTATATGTCTAGAGCTGCGTTATATCTGGCTGGCTTGCGCAGGCAAAGTGTGTTTTAGCCTTCGACGACAACGTCATCGTCAGCAACATTGCCGCCTCCATCATGGTCGTCATCGAAAATCATTCAGGCGTTAAGCAACGCTGCGAAAGTTGCCATTACTAGCTGCCACTAACAACTTTCTACATCTTTTCCTCTAAGCGCTGCTAGTGCTACTTATGTGCCTTCGTTTTGTTGTTGTTGCTGCAGCTGTCGTGGGCGCTGCACGTGTGAATTGATTGGCGGCAATGGTGCACAGAAACGAAGTTTAATGTCGTCCAATTGAATTGATGGGAAAACTTGCTCACACACACACCTACGCACATAACCTTGTTTACTTACATATGTATGAATAAATATTTGCATCTGCGCTTCACACACACACGCGCACACATAACAATCCAATTATGTGTAGATATCTATTCTGGTAGTACTCTTCAAATATTGATT